GGAAAGAGAGAGCTAAAAGTTGACTCTGCACTCTCATGAACTTCACATAATATGGTCAAGGGGCTATTAAAAAAAAGACTGCCATTGAAACCAACTTGCCTGATACAATTCACACGCTCTTTTCTCCCTCTCTGATCAACACATAGCGCACAGGACGACTGAGAACAATGTTAAATCTATCTAGAGCAGGGGCGAGCGAAATGGCAGATTAGGCCGGTGGCCAGACTCCACTTTCCAGCAGCCCCAGCCTGCGTCGTTGCAGCCGGTTTCCACAGAGACCCCAGCAGCCGTGACAGCCTGGGTCCAGGGTTTCAATGGGGACTGGCCCCAGAAGCACTGGCAGGGCAGGTGGCTGGACAGGGAGCGCATCGCAGTTCTGCCCCAGCTCCAGACCACGCTGTCACCACTGCAAGATCCCAGCCCTGGCCCCAGAGCAGTTCCCCACCCCGCTGCTTACCCTGCCAGCACTGCTGGGACCGGTCTCCATGGAAAACCTGGTCCTGCACCATCACGGCCCCACCACTGCTGAGGTCTCGATGGAAACTTAACACAACAATGTGGGCAGGGGCTGCTGGGAAATGGAGTCTGCCACGGGCCCAATCTGTCCCATGGGCCGGACTTTGCCTGCCCCTGATTTAGAAGGAAGAATTGGTCATATTCAATGTTGTCTCTCTTGCCCTCCTGTACGTGTAGATTAAAAATCCCTTGTTGAACTTCATCACAGACCTGCACAGGATTACTGGATTTGAGCTGCTGCCATTCACTCCACAGCCTACCCTTTCCACAAATAACCTAAGCTGCCTCGGTTTTGGGGCCTGAATGCATAGAAGTGCAACAAAGTCACGTGACCAAATTTTGAAAGCCAGCAGTTGCAATTAGTAAAATTACTAAATCTTTTAATAACAGGCTACCCCCACTGTATTATCTCAACATATTATCAAATGCAAAAATAATTGCAGAGAATCAAATAATTCAACATGGAGTGCAACAATATTTTTGTGAGACCAACCTAATTTCTGGCCTGACACAGAAAGCTTTGCAAATGCCTGAAGCCATTTATATTTAAATGTATTGCTGAGTTCAACTGGTTTAGATAGAAAAAAGCTCCAAAAAAGGTACCATGCACAAAATAACTTTACTAATAAACATTCTTCATAAACAATAAAGGAAGATTAAGCAGACTTCAGTTAAAATTTATAAAGTTAAAAAAGTACTGCGCCTGCCTAGGGAATCCCCTAGGAAGTTTCTCTCATTTTGTAACTACGTTTTAATTTTTTCTTTCTTTCCTTCCCCCTTCCTTTAAAAATACTCTCTTCCTTCTCTTGTTTGTTTGGATCCTTCACACAAGAAATGATCTATGGAAGGGTAAGTGCAAAACTGACTCTACACACAAACCTGCCAAATGTACAGAGTAATATTCCCATTATTCCTGACATACCTTGCTTGTCACACTGAATGAATCTGGAGCCAAGTCATAGCGTAACTGTATAAGAACGGTGTAAAAAGACTCCGAGCAACAAAAACCACTTGTTTTTTTGTTTTTTTGGTTTTTTTTAATGTTTATCAAAAGATTAGAGGCGGCTCTGTATGGACACAGGTATGGTTGCATTCCTTCCTACAACTAGTAATTTAATACCATCTTACCATCATTTCACAGTCAGCAGGTTTCTCATTGTAATTCACTCCCAGGGGTAATAACACTGCCACAACCACAAACTGATAAGTAAATGCAACATGTTCAATTCAAACAAACAAACAAAACAAAACTGAGTGTGGAGTGTCCTCAACAGGACTCGAGTATCCTGTAATTCACATCTTGCCCTTCCGCCCTCCACTCCACCATTCTGCTTATTAAAGTATGAGCAGCAGCAATGAGGACCTATAGAACAAGTCTGCCATGATAGAAGAAAATTATACTGTGCATTACCCTAAGCACAAGTGAAGGAGCAACAGAAGCTATGTTCAACAGAAACAAGTGTGCAAATCTACTGCTAAACTCCATATGAATGATAGTTTCTCTAAAGGATACAGTTTTGATTGCAAGGAATTCCGCAATGCTGTAACAACCAGTTTTGTAGCAAAAAATAGTAACAACAACAGAAAGAGTGCCTTTATACTTGAATGCATTGTACTGCAGTCAACTAGAAAATAGCACTTTCCCTCTTGGCTAGAGGCAAAAACATACAACTGATAGGAAAAACATATGCCAACATAGCCAAATATAAAGAAAAGTATATTTTGCTGCACATCATTTTGCTGCACAAGCACTGAATTTTGTGTCAACCCAGTAATTCATCCTGTTCCTCAACGCAGAACCAAAGAGAAATCGTTTTGCTTACCCCTGAAGAGGTTTTACTACACAATTTTGTTTACGAAATTTTTTGTTGACATGTCACTTGAACTATTTTTAGTTAATCCTTATTCTAATCTACAGCAGTGGTATTCAACCTCAGGCCTCCCAGGCCATGTCACTGAGCCCAAAGGCCTCCCTATAGGTCTGAAAATTTGGCAGCAGGAGGAGCATTGGCAACTCCCCTGCTGCCAAATTATCAGATCCAGTGTGCAGGGTTGGGCCAGCATGCGGTCAGATCCAGTGCAGCTAGGCCAGCACACCAGATCTGGCCTGGACTGGCACACCACCATTCACCCAGCAGACAGGGCCATAAGGCTGAGAGCCCCTGCTCTAGAGAACATTTCAGATAACACCTTAAAAACAAAAAAAACAAAAAAAAAAAAGACAGAATTAGGATGTTGAGGTTACGTTCTACTGTGACAGAAGAAAAGCATAACAGAGATGCACGTGAATCCCAACATAAGAAGGCTAAGGTATTTGAATTGGTGCATTTTCTTTTACACAGATAAGGTAGCAGAAAACGTGTGAAGAGAGTGGAGGCCTTTTCCTCCAGCATTTACTCTGAAAGACGTTAGGACAGTGAGAGATGAATTGTCACAGACATCACTTGCATTCAAATCTTCTCTCTTGCTGTGAACAATCCTAACCATTCACATTTTGTACAAACTAATTGCAACAGTAATGCAAATTTAGGATTAGGATTCTATTTGAGTATAATTTTTTTTTTAAATGTTCTCTTTTTGCTTTGTTTTTAAGACACTGACAAAAACATAGACAGGTATCAGTCCATGTTTAACATTGGAGTACAAAATCCTACTGTGTCATCCTGCTGATACAACTGGACTCCCCAAAATTCATTCAAAGGCCACAATGCTAACCTGTTAGTGGACCCATTGTAGCAGTAGTTTGGAAGGAAATCATAGTTGAGTTCCCAGAAGACATGAAGAGTGATTCTTCCATAGGGAGCCGACACATTGTGATTGGCTTCTCTGAACATGGCGTCAAAGCTGTCCAAGGTCATGTATCTACTCAGTAGTTTATGCGTCATTTTGTTGATCTCTATCAAGCCATCTAGCTCCTGCGAAAATTTAAGACAAGAAAGTAGGGAGGAGAAAAGTGAGGAACATGTTAAATATGGCAAAAAACCCCAACCCGACACGTACCCAGAGAATAAGCTAAATGATAAAGCAGAAGATTGGGAAGATTCAATTACAAGACAATCCCTTTCCTCAGACGCACCATATTTCCAGTGAGCAATTTACCTGGGATTTTTCTCTATCCTGATGAATGGATACATGGCCAAGTCTAAGCTAGCTGCCTGAAGCAGGTGCTACTACAGAGCTTGGATTCAAGGTGGCAGGCAGTGAAACTGGTCTGCACTGACTAACAGGTTTTTTTCCTGGTTGAAAAGGACTGTGAGGGCCAACACATGACCATGGACCAGTGTAACTTACACTGGTGGATAGTTAGTCTCCACTTCATGAAAGGTAACTGTACCCTGGAGTGGACTGACCTACACCAGTGTGTGTGGCCACTTCACTTTAACCCTAAAGTCAAATTACTCCAGAATAAATATTATGCATCTTCAGCCCCCTCCCCTTCAGTCCCCCAAGTCTGCAATTCTAAAGGTAAACTGTTAGTTTGGGAAGAGCCAGAATATCTAAGAGTAGTTTATGTTTGTTTGCTTTTTTTTAACTCAAATATGCCATGGAAAAAGCCATGAGAGGCTGAGTCTATTTCAAGTCTGTTTATTCTCCAGGTCGGTATTTCAGAAGCACTCGTTATTGGATTACTAATGTTTCCATTTCATGAAGTGTACAGTAAAATTTCCATCATCTTCAATGGGAGCTGAATTAGGTTAAGCACAAATTAGGTTAAACACGTGCATCAAGGCTACTTTGACGTTCTGTAATTGCAGCGCTGACTTAATTAATCCAGCAGACTCCAACATCACGTGTATCCACATCACCACGCTGAAACATGGCAGCACGGGGGCTTTAACTAAAGCTCTCTCCCCACCTCCCGGAGAATGTGTATAAATGCCCAAAGCTTCTACCGAGCAGACGGTGTGATAAATTTTCCCAGAGAATGAGTTAAGTAATTTTTTTACTAAGCAGTTTCTTCTACCTTCTTATAACAACTGTATATAACATTAGGCACTGCCAGAGTTGATATAACAAGTCTCAGACTGCAGACACTTCCTTCACAACATCTGATAAAAGTAAGCCCTCTGCTATGATAGCTTATGTTATACAACTCTGATTTAATTAGCCTATATGGTGTAAACCTACACTGGCTTCTGTCACATAAGACAATTTATAGTATAGTTCTGTAACCACACCATCCCAACCACAGAGCAAAACATTTTCTTAGAGTGCGACAGGCAACCACATACTGAAAGGTAGACAATATAATAGACGTGCACATTAATCTTTTTGTGCCTCAAGTTATCTATCACAATTCCTTACTAACATTCCTTCTAGACGCCAATGTTTAGTACAGGGGCTTTACCACGAAACAGCTCAACCTTTAAAATATTTGAAGGTTAGCTTTAAAATGAGTAAAAAGTTGTTTTTCAGTTCACGTCCACTGGTTGCGTCAACACGTGAAATTAATTTGACGCAATAAACTCTCGTACAGTTCGTGCCAGAATTTACTGCTCCCAGGCACAGCATTTACATGTACGCTTGGGACCAAAGCCCATTGAGCTGGGGTGGCACAGCCCCAGCTGGCAGAGGACCTGGGGTGTCAGCCTGCCAGCCTGGAGCTGCTTGACTCCAGCTCAACATACTGCAGAGGGGCTGGCTGGGGCACAAGGGTACTACAGTGCAGGGCTAGATGGCAGGCAGCCCCACACTGCAGCCCCCTCGTGTCCCAGCCAGCCCTGGTCACCCTCTACATCCGTGTTCTGGCAGAGTAAATAACTCCGCTGTAGAACAGTACTTGTGTTGGGTTGAGTTAATTAGTTTGTTCCAGTCTAATAGCACCACTCGTGTAGACAATGATGCTTTACTACAGAGCCAATTAGACAACTCCACAATAAGCATCTCATGTACATGCACCCACTGTTAAGAAAATGTCTCATTTTATTTAGAAAAAATTAGTTTTTAGCTGAGAGCCATTTATACTGAAGTACCAGCGTATTGCTAAAAAAAATAAATAAATAAAAAAAATACACATAGTCCTGTATATCATACTTGTCTCATAGGAAGAAGTGGGAGCATGTTCAGTCTCTGAATATTTTCTGTTCCTCTACACTTGAATAAAACTTCATACTACATAAAAACTGCATTAAACGAACATCGAGGTTGCTAAATCAAGTATTCAAAAGGAAGGAAGTGCAACCTCCTCTCTCACCCTTCTCAAGTCTAATTTCGTGGTCCTGCCATTTCCAAATCTACTACTTTGCCTCAGCCCTGGTCTTGTTTTTGTCCCCTTCTGCATAAGAATTAGACCACGTTCTCCTCTACTCTGCTTGGCTGCTAACAGGAAACTGCTGAGAGCAGAGGAGAAATGGACACTCTGTTCACAGTTCCAGTCCCTGGCCCTACCCCATCTCAAAGCAGCTGGGCATACCTGTTACAACAAAGGTTTGCCTTTGCCCCTTCACTCCTATGCTAGAACACGCGCAATAGTTCAGCATGGCTGGGGGATACAAAATAGTCAGATTTAAGAGCCATGCAGGAAGGAAGTACGTTTAAGTCCTTTTCTGTGGAGGATACACAAAAAGCTTAGTCAACAGAGAGTTGAACATGTGAGTCTTTAAAGCAACAAAACCTGGGTATGACAACCTGAACTACAATTTTTCAAAGACTTATCACTTGATAGCATTCGGGTAGATTTTTTGCAAGGACAGAAGCAGCCACATCACACACCCAAAATCTATCCCATCAAATGTCATATTCCTTCTCTACAGAATTAGAGTACCAGCAGTGTTCAAAAAAAGCTTGCCAAAATTTAAGCACAAGCACAACAATTAATTCTTCTCTCTTTTCAAAGTAGCAGAATCACTTGGGGTGGAAGAAAGAAAAAAAAAAAAAAAAAAAAAATCAACCAGAGGCAGGCTTGGAAAGTTTGGTCTGGGGTTTTACAATTAAAGCTTAGCAAAGTTATAGATAACTGAAAAATAGAATCGTAATAGTTCAGTGCTGCAAACCCTTAATAATGGACACTACCCATCAGACTTGTCTAAAATACTGCAACTTGAAGCTAATGAGCGAGCTTTAGAAATCACTGCAAAGTATCTTCTGGATCACTGTGCTTAAGATTCAGGCTCCAGCCTGAAGAGGTCATAAGCTGCTGATACTCTCCAGCAGCCTCTTTCACGTCTTCCTGGACTTGTGCTGTGTTTGGATGAATGAACGCAGACCTTCTGCCTCAAGACAGAGCTTGTAGAAAAAAAACCAAAACAACTTGCTGAGCTTTTTTAAACATTCCTGAGTTGACGATATCAGAATCTATAGAATATCAGAATGTACAAAAAAAGATCAAACTCAGCGCAATTTGTTCTGTGAACTAAGTTATTCTTCTACTGGAGAGAACAAAAAGAACGAACAAGACTGCTTTGCATTTTTTTCTCAGAAAGGCAGGAATTGCCATAGCATATTATATCAAGGGCTCATCTAACCTGGGAGTCTTGTTTTCAGCCAGTGACTAAGGCCAAATGCTTCAGATGAAGATATCAATCTCTACAATACATGATTATGAAATAATGTCTTCATAGTAGACATTTCTAACTTCTAGAATTAGAAATGAGCCCATACCATGAAGCAACAAAGCTTTATAGTACTGCATAGCCTAACTAATGAAAATAGTTACATTATCTATGGAAATCATCTCTTTTTAAATTTTATTAAGTTGCTCACCTCAGCAATAATCTTCCAGAAATGAACTCCACAGGCTGTGCTGTGCCAAAGCATATTTTGTTAGTTTTAAAACTGACTGGCTTTCAATTTCTGGTATTTCTTTTGTAATTTTATTGTAAGAGGATAAAAGGATGTATAACTTCTCTTGTCCGAATCATTATTTTGTATGCCTCTCATTGCCCCTGTTTTTTTAGGCATACAACTTATACAATCTCTTCTTTTATGGGAGAATATCCATGTTTCATAACATGCATTATTGACCAGCACTAAATCGTCTCAATTTCAGCTTTATTTTTTATGTCATCATAACTCTCTTTGATTTGGGGATAACCCAGTCAAGGCCAATCCGTTTAGCAATTTTAGGATGAACAAAACTGAACACAGAACTCCAAACAACTCTTTTGCATGAAAGCGTCTCTCTCCTACCCTTCCAGTTTACAATACAAGGAAGAAAGATCATAGTGACCTTCTCTTTCAGCTGTGTTTTCAGTGGAGTTGAAATAAACACAGCTGATTTTGTCTGTTAATTCCACATTTATCTGTCAAATTTATGTCATCAATGGAGTTCTGGGAAGAGAGTTTCTTCATTAAAATTTTAATCAGGAAACTAACTAAAAATGACACAGTGGTATTGCACATACGTGCTCCCTGTGTGAGCATGAGTCAGATCCTATTACTTTACTGACAAAAACAAGTTTTTCCTTTTGACAGCACTACAGAACCACCCTGCCTAGCAAAAGAACTAGTTACCCCTGTTCTGCTTCATGCATCCAAAAAGACTGCCTGCTGACTTCAGATTCTGGATCATTTGACTTGGGTCTGCAATTACGCATGAAGTGCAGAACAGCTGCTCAGATGAAAGGTGGCATTTCAAACTCACATCGTTAGAAAAACCTTGTTTCCTATCCATCTTTTCACAGCTTGAGAGCAACATCCAAGCACTACAGAATCTGCTATTTATTTCCAGCCCTCCCAAGACTACTCTTCAACGTGAGATGCTCTCTTTTGGTCAAGAAAAGTGAAACAGCTTCCTCCATCACAGGTTAATTCTTCACAGGGTATGACCAGGTCACCTTTCCTCTAAGGGAAAAAAAGGTGGGTTTCCCTCTTCATCGCTGCCTCTAAAGCATACCTCCATCTCCTCAGCATATGAAAAGTCATTTAAACACTGTAAACAACAACATGATGGTATATTACTATGTTTGACCAAGACTGTGTTACAGGTTTTGCCCCAACAGCTATCTTGGTTAAGAGTGTGGAGGCAATAAATAAATAAATCCTAACACTCCCAACCAAGGAAACTCTGCCAACAACAATCCCCCACTGCTTCTCATGTAGACACAGGTTTTCACAATGAGAGTCCTTCCTTAGTACAGCTGATATTATTCATTCAGTTGACTTAGCTGTGCTGCAAAATAACTCCATCTGCCAGGATAAGCTGCCTTTCCAATACGGGATTGTGCTAGTATTGCTACCTGGTAAAGTCTTCTTCATCCAGGCTAGGGACAGAAGTTACACATAAACCGATTTAAGTGAGCAGAAACTGGTTTAAATCTGTAACAGAACATAAATTCAAAGTACATAAACCAGTTTCAAAATGGCTGAAACTGGTTTAAGACAAACCTGGTTGAATGTAATATCAGACTTAACTGATTTGGGTCAAACCGGTTTATAGAACTTCTGTCCCAGGCCCCTTCCTGGTTCAAGTTAAATCACGCCCCATGCTTTCCAGTCCTGGGCTGGGCTGTGCTCTCTGCTCCAGAGAGCAGGGCTGGCTCCATCCCTGTTCTCTCTAGCTGGAGCAATGACAGCTGGCTAACAAGGGGGTGGAAAGGGCAAGCCCAGCTGGGGTTGCAGCCCAGTCTGTGACAGGAGGGGGGTAGGGGGAAAACTTCCCCTCCTCCACCCACAGCAAACCCCAGTTGGGGTCTGGGACCAGGGAGGGGGGGGTTAAACACCCCTTCCCCTGCTCAAACTTACTGCTGGCTACAACTGTGGACTACAAGTCCCAGAGGCACCTTGAAGCAGGAAGAAGTGATGAGCAATCCTGCAGAGTCCTACTGCTATGATTTTGGACTGCAAATCCCAGAGACCTCAGGGGCAGCAAGAGGAAGCTAACACACAGCCCATGCTGGCTACATGCCAGAGAGCCATGCTGTAGTGCCCCCGTCTTCTAGTCTGAGGCACTGCAAGTTTGTGGCTACAGTTGTATCAAAAGGTAAATGTCTCTTCACTTTCGTTTCAATTTGATCTATGCAGCTTAGACTAACCTGCAAAGACTGAATCGATTCAGACTCAGGCTTTTTGACTGTCTGCACTTGCCTTGGCTGTGTTAACAACTTGCCCAGGGCTAACTAATGCTTTACCTTGCATAAACTAGGGAATTTATACCTATACAAGAGGGGAGTGAAGAGAAATACCTCTGGAAACAAGATATTTTTAGGTCAGTCTTCCTAAACTGTTCTGTGCTTATGCTCATTTAACTCATCTTTGGGACAAAACAGTTATGTTGATTAGTAATTCAACACTCCCACTCCTTCAATAAAAGTGCAAGAGCATATAACACCAATAGCCAAACCAAAGACCATCTGCTATAAGTTACAAAGAAATTCTTTGGTATAAACCTTTAGAAGCCTTTCCAACCTTCATTTTGCATCATAACACAATAAAAAATTGGTGCCAGTGAATGTAAATTAAATGCAAGAACCATGATTGTTTACAAACCCATTTTAAGCCATTCCCTACATAAAAAGCAATAATAGAGAAATATTGGCATCAAACTTTCAACAAATATTTTAAGAGACAGCTGCAGAGAATACTTACTACAATGGAGGTTAAGTCCTCACTTTCAAATCGTCCAATTGCCAGCTCCAATGACTTATACATGGCTGCTGAAATCCGCTGAGTGATTAGGCGGTTGAGGTCTATTGACCTACCAAGAAGCTGAAGAAGAAACAACCCCCAAAACTGTATCAGATCAGACTGCAATGCATCCCTAAAACTGAGACTAATGGCATAAATTTAAGAAGCGATTTCCCCCCAAACTAATTTTTGTTAGTTAACAGATGAAATAAGCTGTATGTATATATGATACTCACACACACACACACACACACACACACACGCATACACACGTAGCATGCAGAAAAAAATATAAATCCATTGTGTACCCTAGTTACTGGCACCTTACATCCTCACAGGAGTCATAATAATATTTGATATTTTTAAATCCAAATCAAATGTTGAGCTAGATAACTGAGTTACCATTGAGTTCCAAAAGTTTCCATACTTATTTGAGACTTATTTCAGCTGACTCCATCATGTAAGTAATATGACAATACTGCCATGTACCATATTTGTGTGTGTGCGCATGTGTGCAGATGCACATGTTTTACTAGAAATATTTACACTATAACAGGATTTTGCTGCTTTGCTGTGAATTTACTTCGTGAAGTGATTAAAAATGCTCACAGACATCAAACAGAGTATGATGATGTCAGGCAAGTAATAAGATACTGGTACATCAGGAACATTAAAAACCATTAATTACAGTGCAGTAGTTCCAGTTTTACGCACCTGGACATGTCTCTGTTTCAGCAGGGTTTCATATCTGTTGGACGATGGCAAGTGAATTGATGCCCCCTGATTCTTGCACTCTGAGCGTAATCGCTTATCCAGAAGCAGACTATTATGGAGAGGGAAAAAACAACAATATTTAATAGTACATTACACAGCCAACTACAGTCAAAATATACAAATTTAAAAAAATACAACTATCACACTACCTACCCTCCTGCTATAATTTTGTAGTATGCAAATATCTGGTCCGCCAGCTTGTAGACAAATTGGTCAAAACACAAGTTTACCTGAAAAAATATTAGAGATATTAATTATACATTTATATTTAAACAAAAGAGAGGTGACTTGTCCCAGGCTCTCATTACTCAAAATAAATACAAATGAAGTTAAAACTGTCAGGTCTGTTCACATCCTTTTTGTGGTAGTGCCGATGTCAAAATATGCTAGCTTTATGAAAGGATAAAGAGCATTTAGTGTTCTATTAACTGGCCATCTCTCTGCAAGGAGGGCACTTCCTCTCTCATTCTCTCTGTGTCTTTGCCATGCTCAGCACTTTTCTTTTTGTATTTTCTTCATCTACTTTGAAGATGTAACTATTGTTCCATTAATGTTCTATCACCTATAACACCAGCCTTCCCACCAGGACACAAACCACTTTTTTCCAAATGACCAGATGAACTTACCTCTGCCTCAATTTCATCATACAGGAACTGCTTCTTAAATTTAGTTAATGCATAATGAGCACTATCATTGTAAAGATCCAAAGAATAGAGAACATACCTGAATGGAAAGAAATATGGAAAAAGGTTACTTTCTTCAAGTTTCTAGATTTCTTCAAGAAGCTGTAGTCAGGGCAGATCCCACTTCAAAGTACACGATCCCATTATCCCCACGCATACAAGAAAAGAGTTTGCTGTTGTTTAACAATCATGCCTATCGTGTCCATTGGGACCATCATGTGCCCTGCACCTCCTAACAGTCCTGAGCAAGGTCAAGAAAAGTGGAGAAAACAGAATGCCACCAGTCCTTTCATCGGTCAAAGTATGTTAGCTGAATAACACGAGAAGTAGGAATGGAAGGACAGGTCATGGGATCCACACTGAGAACAGCAACTCTAAATTACTGTTACCGTAAAGCAACTGTTTCTTCTTCAAACATATGTCAGTACAGATCCCACTATAGGAGATGGGCAAGAAATTTCTCTGCAGGTTGGCAGGAATTAGTTTAAAGTTCTACCAGTCGAACAGTATGTGTAGCACTTCTCTCAACATCTCTGGAAAGCACCTGATAATGCTTCTCTGCTTATTTAGACTAGGCTGAATGGTGCCTGTGTTTGCAGGAGACCTCTGACAGGCTCCAGAATGCCCTCATTGGTGAACAGAGAGCTCCTGACAAAGGACATCATGATCAAGGCACCAAGGAGTTTATTCAGTCTTTTCTGTATGACCATCCAGTGTCTGCAACACAGGTTAGAAGACGCTGGAATATTTTAAAACTCCTCAAACTTAAGAGCACAGGCTGGTTCTTCTACAATAAGGGTGATTCTTTTGGTGGAAACTGGTTCTCTTGTTCTGCTGATACAGTTCCTGGGTGCAGTACCAGCCTCTGGCTCTGGCGATTTCACAGAGGAGACTGATCTCCTCCTCCTCTTCTTCCTCAGCCTATTGGATCAATGTCTGTGTGATACTCTTCACCTGTGCCAGTACTGGCAATAGTGGCTCACTTAATCCTGCTCCAATAGTGGAGGACTTAGATACTCTGTCCTTGGAGGAGTGATGTCTTTCCTCTTCTTTCTACAGGGTGGCTCCTCGCTGTTTGGAGTTATGCCTGGCCTTTGCTTGGCCCTTGTTTTTAACTTGGTCAGCAAAGCAATGCCAAGAGTTCATATACTCATGCACCAGCACCTCTGACACCTTCCATGTTCATTCCCCACTGAGTTCTGACAGATTGCTTAAGCAACTGAAGTTTTACTTATGTGTTTTTTAACTTACAAGTCATTTGCAAAAATGATTCAGAGATTCAATGCTTTTCAGTGATATGGTTCTCACCCAGACAGAAGAGGCACTGGCTATCCCTGTCATTCAGCTGGCTGAGCCCACTGCAGGTCATGCAAGGCTTCAACAACTTCAGCATTTGGAAGCTAGCAGGTGAGAGATTTCTTCAAAAGATTAAATATAGAAATTGAACTCAAAAGCCGCATCCTGACGAGTGCAGCTATGAGGAATGTGGTGCTGCAGACATGTCTACAGCGGCACATAGTGCACATTCAGCTGTTCTCCACACTGCAAGGGAGCAGCATTGGGGGGGGGGGGGGGGGGGGAGAGGGGGGGGGGGGGGGGGGTTTGACCCTTGGATATCCAGGGGTCAAAAAAAAAAAATTAAAAAAAATAAAAAGTGGAGCAGTGCACACAGGGGCAGCATATACTGCCCAAAACCAGAGCCTGGCTGGCTGGAGCCATGTTCCAGCTGCTGGCCAGTCTCCAAATGACAGGATCACCACACTTGTAGCACCAGGAGGCTCCCAGGAGCCCAGGTAAGGCTTCTGGGACCAGTCCAGTGCTAGCCCCAGCCTCCCCTATCTCACCCGGCGTAACCTGCTGCATGCCAAAAGGCACATGGCACAGGCGTTACCCAGGAATAACTAGCGGTGGCACAAGGTGAGAGCACAAGCATACCCCCAGTGGAATCCACACTCGAGTATGCTTGGAGAATACTTGCAGTTTGTAAAATGTTTTGTGAACATGACAGCAAAATAAGAATTGATCATTAAAAAATTGTAATTCTTTGTAATTCAGCCCTCCTGAGAAGATCAGTATAGAAGAAAAACAAGTCTACTACACTGCCACAAAAAATCTAACTCCCAAACGCTACCAAAGGAATGAACCTTACAAGCAGATGTGACAAACACCCAGTGGACAAGTTTGACCTAGCTTACAAATCTGACACAGTTAATAAGCTCTCCCGCCCCTTATGTTAGGAACAGAGGTTACGCATAAACTAGTTTAAGTGATCAGAAACTGGTTTAAACCTTTAACAGAACCAAAATCCAGTTTCAAAATGGCTGACACCAGTTTGACATAAGCCTGGTTGAATCTAGTATGAGACTTAACTGATTGCGGTCAAACCAGTTCATGGAACTTCTGTCCCAGACCCCTGCCTGGTTTAAGTTAAACCCCCAGCATCCCAGCATGCTCTGCAGCCCTGGGTTGGGCTATGCAGTCTGCTCCTGCGGAGCAGGGCTGGCCCCACCCCTCTGCTCCCTAGCAGAAGCAGGGCGGGGGCATAAGCAGATGCTGGTCTCCTTAAGGTGAAGGAGGCAGAGAAGAGATTTATTTCCCTCTCCTGTGTCCCACTAGCATGGACCACAGCCGGGGTCTGCCAGGCACAGAGGCCTGTGTCAGGATCTGCGCCCCCCTCTCTGCTGCAGGGCCAGGTGCATGGCCAGGCACCAGCTGGCATGGGCCCCTGAGGCAAAGTGGGCAGGGAAGGGGTTTATTCCTCTCCTGCCCCTGGGACCCCAGCCAGGGCAACCCCTTTAAGGCATTCCCCCCCACCGTCACCACTGGAGCAGCAGAGGGCATGGCCAGCCCCAGCAGTAGCCTCAAGTGAAGTGGCCAGGGAGGGGGTTTAATTCCCCACTCCCTGTCCCACCAGCACGGACCTGAGCCAGGGTCTGCATGGTGCTCTACCCTCACTGCTGCAGTGGCAGGAGCAGAGGCATAGCCAGATGCCAGCTGGCATGGCCCCCTAAGGCAAAGGGGGCAGGGTGGAGGTTTATTCCCCACTACACCCTCTCTGCACCTGGGGGACCCCAGCCAGGTGTCTCAGCCCTGACCACCACCTCTGCCGATCACTCCTTGCATGGGACAAGCAGCAGAATAAGGTCCTTCCCTGCCTCCTTTGCCAGATGCCAGAGGGAAGGCAGAAATAAATCCCCTCCCTGCCCCCTTCACCTAAAGGGGCCCTGCTGGCCAGCCTCTGCCCATGCCCATGACACTGCTGCTGGAGCGTCAAGTGGGGAGTGACTCTCACAGGGCAGCAGCCCCTGTGATGGCGTCTCAGGAGTTCAAGTCTCTTCCCAGCAGGAGGGCTGTGCTGTAGGTGGGAGCGGGGCAGACAGAGCTGCCACAGACTGCATGGGGCAAGCAGAAGCAGCATGCTGGGGGGGGGGGTGTTTGGAGGAGCTATGGCCACCCCCTAAGCCCCAGTACCCCACATAGTCTGCAGCAGCTCTGCCTGCTCCACTCCCGCCCAGAGTGCAGCCCACGCCCCTCCCCCGCGCTGGGAAGAGGCTTGCACTCCTGGGACACTATCACAGGGGCTGCTGCCCCCGGAGGATCATTCCCCCTTCACCACTCCAGCAGCAGGTGCAGGGGCATGGCCAGAGGCTGGCCGGCATGCCCCCCTTAAGCGAAGGACGCAGGGAGGGAGTTTATTTCCCCCCTCCCTCCAGCATCTGGTGAAAGGGGCAGGGAGGGGGCTTATTCTGCTGCTTGTTCCATGCAGGGAGTGATCAGCAGGGATCTGTGATAAAAAAAAATCGTGCTTCATGGATCACATTTTCCGTGATAACAAAAAATAAATAATAATAAAATAAAATAAAAAAATAAATAAATAAATAAAAAAATCACAAATTCTCTGATAAAAATCCCAAAATCCATGGTTAAAATTAAATCTTGTGCCCCTTGCCCCCCACCCACAGCCCCGCTGAAGGGGGCCCCCAGCTGTTAGGGCTATGGGGCTAGGGACCCAGGTCCACAGCCCCCTGCCCCCAACAGAAGGCAGTGGCTGCTACAGCAGGAGCATGAGTCAGCTCCCCCCACGCTGCTACCTGCTGCAGGCTCAGGTAGGGCCAGCTCCCAGTGGCAGTGTGCACTCCTGGGGGGTAGGGGGGACCCACGCCCCCCCAGATCTGTGTAAGGGGTGGGGGCAAGACAGATGTGCACTGTCCCCCTGCATGCAGAGGAAGTGTGGCCAGGGCAGCACAGAGATTGCAGTGGTAGGCAGCTTTCGTGCGTGGCCCCGCTGTGCCCTGCTGCACCAGTCGCACATGCTGTGCTCTGGAGAGCCTGGGGGAGGGCAGCAGGGCAGAGAACACAGCATTCGTGACCCACGGTTCGCAGCTGGCTGGGCACTCTGGCTGAGAGGGGGTTTGCAGCCTGCCTGCTCCTGGCCAGAGTGCTCGGCCAGCTGCAAAACCCTCCTCCCAGCCGGGGGGGCCGGGGGGACCGGGGGGTTTGCCAGCCAGCCGGGAGCAGACAAGGGTTTCCAGCCAGCCAAGCACTCCGGCCAGGAGTGGGGAGGCTGCAAACCCCCTCCCGGCCAGAATGCCTGGCTGGCTGCAAACCTCCCCGCTCCTTCAGCCCCTAGCCAGCTTCCCCCCCACAGCCCAGCTCCACAGCCCCCAAGCCCCACTTACCTCCGGCAAGAAGAGCATGGGGAGGCTGCAAACCCCCTCCCGGCCAGAATGCCTGGCTGGCTGCAAACCTCCCCGCTCCTTCAGCCCCTAGCCAGCTTCCCCCCCACAGCCCAGCTCCACAGCCCCCAAGCCCCACTTACCTCCGGCAAGAAGAGCAAGCCTGAAGCAGCCTCTGGTAAGTGTGAGTGTTGGGCCCTGCCCTTCCCCCTTCCCTTCACCTCCGGCAGGGTTGAGGGTTTCCCCGTCCCTTTTGCAAACAGCTCTTGTAGGCTGGAACTCAGCCAGCCTGCAGAGCTCTTTGCAAAAGAGGGGGAAAAAAAATCAATGGATTTCTCTTCTAAAAGGGAAAAATCCGTGTTTTCTCTGACAAAAGTGGGAAATCTGTGGTTTTCTCTGTTTTTCCATGGGAAACAGAAAACCAGGATCCCTGGTGATCAGTAGAGGCGGCAGTTGGGGCTAGCAAACCCTGGCTGCAGCCCCCCAGGAGTACAGGGGGCAGAGGAGGGAATAAACTTCCTCCCTGCCCCCTTTGTCTTAGGGGGCCATGCCTGCTGGCATCTGGCCATGCCCCTGCAGCAGTGAGGGAAGAGTGCCAGGCAGACCCTGGCTCAGGTCCATGCTGCTGGGACAGGGAGGGGAGAATTAAACCCCCTCCCTGGCCAGTTCACTTGAGGCTACTGCTGGGGTTGGCCAAGCCCTCCCCCCACCCCAGTTTCCCTGCAGCCAAGGGCATGCTCTAGCCTCCACCCCCCCACCCCCGGCTTCTGGCCTGAGTCACTGCAGGCATGTGTCTGCATTTCCCAAGTCAAAAGTGAATGTCTATTTACTTGCAAATTGGTTCAATCTATGCCAGTTATACTAACCTGCAAAGACTGAATCAAGTCAGGCTCCAGATTTTTGAATATCTGTCCCTAGCCTTACAGTCTGTAGTCCAAGTGGTCCCAAGTAAACTTTCCAACAGTAAAGCAAATATAAACCAGTGCGCTATACCCCCTTGTTTCTGTAGCAAGCAGAAAACCTAAACAAATGCTCTAAGACTTTGTCATTTTCCTGGCCTCCATTCTTCTCATCAGGGCTGAGACCTCCACAGTCCAGAGATGGGATTTTAAATGGGGATTTTCCAAAAGAACCCAAAGGTATTAGCTGCCATATGGCTAAGGCTACAGTACTTAGAAGCTACTGGCCTCAAAAATATCAAAATTACCTATTTCATTGCTATTCACTTTAGCAGAAGGTATAGGAAGCTGGATTGAGTAAAACCCATGTGGAATTATTTGGGTTTTAATGCAGGGGGAAGAAAGAAGGAAATGCAAGAAATCTGGGAAAGAGGGAGAGAGATAAGTAAAGGACAAGATATAGCTACTGTGCTTCAGATGTGTTTTCCCACTGTGCAATGATGTGACAGGGAGGTATTTAAAGATTAGAAAAGAACAAAGTTTAGCTAATTGCATAAGGATCACATCTGCTTCTTTATGAAAACTTCCTATTGATACAAGAACCTGTGGATTGTTGTCCCAAGATCTTTAACTGCAGTACACACTTTAAAAAAATATATTTTAATCTCTCCATAAAATATCTGGCATCCTTGATTTAAATCTGGAGAGACAGTGCATCAGCAGAACAACTTAGTTGAATGTCTTCATGCTTTTTACATGAAATAGTTTAAAGATCTGGTATTTAAAACAAACAAACAAGCAAGAAAATAAGAGAGCCCAGATTCTGTCCCTCCAGAAGTAACAGCTGGAAAATGCACTATCAACCAAGTCGCAGAGTTTGTTTCTTCACAGAATACTCTCCACATTCTTTTTAATAAGCACAAGAATTTAGATAGATGGAGTGGAAGACCAGTCACAGTATGTCCACACAACATGAACTTTCATAGGACTTAACCTGAAGATCCATAAGAAATAAGTAAATAGGAAATCTCAGAAATAAAAATAAACATGAAATATTACAACCAGGTCTGTCTCAAGAGTAAACAGAAATAATAACAGTAATGGTGATAACAATAATAGTACTTAATCATTTCAGTTTATTTTACCTTACACATAGGCTTTGGATGCTGGAAAATATAATGATTTAATTCACTTCTGTTTCTTTGATGACCCTGTATTGACAGGATTCCTACAAATCCATCTCAAGACTTAGTACACAGATTGCAATTTAAATCACTACATTTTTTTCTGATGGTCTTGTCCTACCTCATAAATATCCTTTCATGTCTGTTATACTCCCAATATAGCTCAAGTCCTGTTGCCTTTGAAGTTAATCAGAGTTTAACTACTGACTTCAAAGAATATCAACTTGCAGCCGTAAGTTTGGGTGGCCAGCAAAGCAACACTTAAGAGTTCGTTTCAGAATGAGTTTAGCCTGCCTGTGTCTCAAAGGACTAATATCATTGAGCCCTTGGGAACTTGCATGCACAAAAGCATGCCAAGATAAAAGAGCAGGAATCTAGGAAAGAGAAGATCTTCAACCATAAATCTTTATCACACTTCCTCAGCATTAGCTTGAGGACACCTGTTAAGGCTAGGAGTTGGTAACAGAATGATATTTATAATCATTCAGTGAAGGAGCGCAGATAAGACTTACTCCATCATTGATGCCTCTTTGGTCTCCAGAATATGGTCAGTCAGAATCCAAGGCATTGACATTTCAATAGGGAACTGGATTCTTCTGCCCATGGTCAACTCTAAGAAGAACTCTCTGAACCACAACTGGGACAGGTCACAGCACTGCTGCAGAGTTTCTTTCAGAATAAAATGACACAACATTATTATATTTCTCATATGAAAGACATTTGTAAAATGATAAAACTGTGATGCTGATGATGCAATGTTGAAACTAAGAAGCGGGTGAGGTACTAGAGCTAAGGTAAGCCAAATGCACAAATCAAATTCAAATGTAAAGCCAGTGAGGTTTTTAAATAGCTCTCAATGTACAAATACACCCAGAGTGAGCCACTAACACCCCCAAGTGTTTTACTACAGAAAATATTGCCATTGTGGGCCAGCGGCAAAACTACATGATTCCCCCGCAACTAGACAAATGATTTTATTCCCAACCCACTCAGAGTGCTTTAAAAACAGGGCCTTCAGTTCATGGTATGACGGTCAGAAAAGGAAGGCAAGATTGTATTGTAACAATCATCACCATTTCAACCATCAGATTAAGCAGCAGGATTTACTTGCCCTTTTGGCCTTCACTGATTAGGAGAGCAGGGAACAAGACACAACCAAGGGAGGGACTGGAACTTGGAAGAACTCCAAGGGCACCCTGTCAAGGAGGTCAGAAGATTTCTTCTGCATCTCCATGAAAAGTACACAAAATAGGCAATATTTGCAAAGGACTACAGGACCAAACCAAAGATGAACATCTTTCTAAGCAACCACAGTGCTGTTTATGGAAAGCATTAGTACTACAATTAGCAAGCCTCCCTCCTCTGAGAGCCAGCAGATCCACTAACAAAATAAAGATGCAAGACAATACAACATGGTGATGACAAAGACTAGATACATTCCGTGTCAGTAGGTGAATCCACGAGGATAATATGTTTCCGATTACAAGTGACTGAACACAGAGGGGGCTATTAAACTGATACTAAATTTAGTATGATTTGATTACTCTCCCCTAGAAAAAAAAAAAAAATTTCTTGAATTTTGGCTATTTATACTGGCTTGATGCTTATGTCCCTTATATAAAAAAGAGGCAACAGTAAAAAAAAAACAAACCAACCACTAAAACACAAACAAACACAACATTAAGCACAACACATATGGCCAGGCAAAACTTGGCTGAACACTTCCTTTGTATGGTTTCAAAGTTCTGACAGGCCAATGTTTTATGTGGACAAAGAAACGTTCCTTGGTTTAGGCAATCGGAAACATTTTCCAGGTTGTGTTAAAAGGTGTTAGGACATGCTAGGCTGGACACTGATCATCTACATATCTTACCACTGAAATTTATCAAATGAGTGTAGAAGAAAGACTCGCGATGAAATTTTTCTATGTCCAATATGGTGGGCCCCTCAAGGCTACTTCTCAAGGTTTTCTTGGAACCACTTTTGTCAGCAATGAGGGACTCTAACATAGTTCTCACCATGTAAAGCTGTATCATTAAAGGAAAAATACGTGGTGGAAGGGGAAAAAAAAAAGGAAAATACACACGGTACATTAGTCAAGTAACACTGAGAAATACTAATCAGAAAGCGACTGCTCCACTGTAAACTGAAACCATTGGGACAAAAGCAGTGCCTTTCTCCTAAAGGAGAAAGGAAACTGTTATAGTCCAACCAAGTTACGGGAGTCTCCAGTAATATGTAGAAATAGACAATTTGCAGTGGAACAGTTCACACACCACAAAATTAAAATAATAAGCAATGTCTTACCACCAAAGTTTAAAAGAGGTGGATAGATGTAGGACTGCCTCAGAAACTTGTTTGCCACATGCAATAGCTTTTCCATTCCCAGAGACTTGAGCTGCTTCAACAGCTCAGCAGAGTTTAAGGACTCTGTCATAGTGCGAACCATGTAGAGCTAAAAACCAACAGACAGGGAGGCAGGGGAGAGAGAATCCGTTAATAAAAAACACGTGAGTAAATAAGGAAAGGGAAATAGAAGCAGAGAAAAATGTGCATTAGTATGTTAAAAATTAAAAGCAATATAGTAAGCATGGTGAGGGAAACATTCACTTCTTAAGTAAGTAAGCATGTATTTTCGTATGGCCAAGTCATTTTATGAGCATCATATCTGAAGCCCATTAAAAGCCAATGAAAAAGATTTCCATTGATTTTTTAATAAATATTGAATCTGGACCTAGTTGATTACCTTCTTTATCAAGTATTTTACTAATATGTCTCAGTGCAATTAATACAGCACATTATTAATTTGAAATTGCATAAAATTGACATAGCTGTCATCTAATAGTTAATATAAACTGTTTCCCTCTTCAGCCAAAAAAGGTTTAGGTCCAAGAATAGACAAAGGACAGAAGAAAGTATTTTAAATCAGCTTGCAACGGACAGTTAAACAAAGTCCTTAAACATAAATGAAAGTAAGAGAAAAAACATTGGTGGCAATATATGAAACCAAATTATTATTAGAGCAAACAGGGTGATCTGATTAAACAAAATTTTCACCAAAACACCTTTCAGAACGTTTTTTTTCTAAACCCATTTAATCATCCATAAATAATACTGAAGTATTACCTACATAGGATGTTAGGAATTACTATGGCTTTATTTATAGATCACAACTCCCCCCATTTTACCTGCCAAAATGTTCAGAGTTCAATCAACTATAAGTATGCAACCAGAAAAACCAACGTTCTCAAAACAGAGAAAAAGGAATCCCATACAGACAGCAAGAAGAGGCAAGTTTCTACACATGGGGCTTTAGTGTTTCCTGCAAAGAATATCTGAAAATACTGCTTAAGATTAGGGAGGGCAAACATGAGATCAGTTTCAAGGGGGATTTCCATAGACCATAAGGCAAACACTACAAAATTAAGGGATAAAGGTAGAAACAAAAGTAATCCAAGCGTACAATATCAATCAGACAAAGCACAAGGATAGAAGGCAAAAATATAGCACGTCCTATAGATTGGGACCCACCCAATTCGTAAAGTTGCTAACCTCCTGAATTGGCCGGGAGTCTACCAGAATCAGCACTGATGTCCCGGTGACTATTGAAAGCAACCTGGGAGATTGATATTGTGAATGGACTGAACAGTACAATTAATGACATTACATCATGCTGGGGGGAAAACAAATCTCCCAGAAAAGCTTCAGCCAGAGTTGGCAACCCTGCCAATTTGCAATTTTGCAGAAATCACGAAATCAGGCATTGTCTGTACAATAAAATAAAATAAAAATAAAAAACAATTAAAAATAAAATTGCTGGCTCCCAGTGGGGAGCTGGGACAAAGGTGAACAGCCAAGATGGCAGCTGCCCCTACCCCTTGCCGCTGATTGGATGAAGAGACTACCCATTGCACGGCTCCACCCATGTTGGCCAATCAACGGTGAAGGGTAGGGCTGCATGACAAGCAGCCCTCTTGGCCAATCAGCAGTGAGAGTTGGGGCCACCATGAAAATAGCAGCTGGCCCCACAAGCTGCATGTGAAATCGGATGCCTGCCTCCTGGATTTTGGTAGGTCCTGACCTACAGATTGACTGGATTTAAAGACAACAATGACAATTTAGTCTGGAAGGAAAGGAAACAAGCTGAAAAAGAATTCAGTCATCTCTAAAAAGGAAAAAAAAAAGGGTTTTGAAACCTAAGAGGCATAGATTTAATGTATGAGTATTTCTCCGAAATAAGCTAAACTTATGGAAGTGTAACACCTTGGGAAAGAG